CGCAGGGTACCTAGGTACCCAAAAAGCAAGGACACTTAACCTTTGTCCGAGCGACCATTTTCGAGGCCCGGGTCCCAAACGAGTTTGTGAAAGAAAAAAGGTGCCTCCGTAATGAAAATTAGGGCTTTTTTCCTAGGCCTCAAGACGAGAGTACCTCCTAGTCGGGGAACGATTCCAAAATACGGTGTTCCTGTTCGGCTGACGGTATTGTTGTCTTGCACGAAAGCTCCCTTATGGTTTCTAGCGCAAAAAAAGCTGTAGAAATTTGAACGAAAGCACATTTTGTAACTGGCGTGACCCTAAACGTTTCAAAATAAGCACTTTTCTCCCTGACGCGCCTGTCGTTTGAAGATGGCACAGAGGAGGAGGTGCAAGCTATGAGGTAAAGCCCTACGACCCAAGTGATTTGCTCATATGACAAAGGCTGAATGTGCCTTTGACATGCCCACCAAGGGGTGAATTCGTTAGAGTAAATACGAATGTTCAGGAAATAATACCCACCTGACACCAGTGTTCCGGATCGTACATCATATAAACGACATTCAAATTGAACATCGCATGGGGAATTTGTTGCATTGCAATCAGGACGTAGATCCAAATCTGCCACCATGAACATCCGCCGATGATGTTAAGGATTCCTGAAGAATTAACAGTTAGTTCATTTCAAAGCAGGACACGCCATCGTTGTGATAATCACAACGGGGGGGGTCGTATTTGACCGCGAGGGAGGGGGTGGTCGTATTTGGTCAGAGAAAATTTTTTTTGATAGTTGATTTCTCTTGTTTCACAGACGCTATAAGGGAGGGGTCCCTTGATTTGACGATCCAGTTCCTGGATTTGACGATCCGAACGATACGACCGTCTATGTGAACGGGTGTGAACGCCTCTGGTCAACCAACCGAAACAGTAAGTTTTGGCGCTGCCGACTAGAGGTGTATAAAGTGCCTGCAATGACGGGAAAAATCAACAAACGAGAATTTTCCTAGATAAAATTTGACCTTCTCACTCCCTCGTTCCGCAGCAACTTATTGATTTGATGATTATTGATCGTTTTAAGCCACCAGCAGAGAATAATCAATCGTGCCGAGAATTCTATTACAACCTTGACATATCCAGATGAAATTCGGAAAGGCTTCTGTGACAAATACAACCCTAATATTCCTCATTTCGCAGCCATAAAATCTCCGCCATCCCCTGATCATCAAGGCTATTCGTGAGGCATCGCCCTCGTTCGTGTTGTCACATAAATCACTATGTTTATTCTCCGCTCTCGTCCGAATGGATGAGATCTATGGCCAACCATCAGCGCTAAATGTTCCCTGTTTACCGCTTTATAATTGCGCCACATTATGATATCATGAAGTTTTTAATTCGAATTACGATTTTTACTGATACCGCCGTTTTCACTTCAAACGGGAAACTTTCAAACGACAGGATGTCGCAGAAAAACTTTTTATGAGGGGAAAAAATAGCTAATGGGTACAATGCTACCGAAAACCAACAATAAGATCAACGCGCGCCCACCCCTTGGTCGTCTGTGTCCTCTCAAAGGGACATTGCCGCTCAAATGGCCTCCCATCAAGAAACGTGCTGTTGGGAAAGGTTTTTGCAAGGTACAACCATTTGCTCCCCGGTACAATGCCCTCGTCCTTCTCTGTTCTCCATCCTACCTACCAACTCATAGATTTTCCCAACTTCCCACCACTACTCTGGAGGTTTTCCTCCAGAGAAGACAAACAACCCACGAGTAGGGAAGAGGAGACGGAGTGGCGAAATAAAGCGCAAGTGAAACGGGAAAACCATGAAAAGTCAACAACAACCCAAACATTTTTGTCGGGCTCAATACGACCCTCTCGCTGGGGATCCCCGGCGTACGACGTGCCCTGTCTCCCATCTACCCTGGCCTTAAAGAGATCAGACCAGTAGAAAGGGGTATGGGCGATTTTTGCCCATTACCCGCTGAATTTCGTGCCCTTTTTTGGTAGCTGCACTAAAATGAGTACGAATGCACCCGGTCAGATTCCTCCTAATCAGTACAAAATCACAGAGGAGAATACCTGGTCGGAGTTGTTCACAACGTCATGACAAATTTGATGCCAAAGACGCAGATTATCTCACCTTCAAAGTCGACTGGATCCGTGAATCGTCGCTCTCGTTTCGTATCTTCACGATATTTCTGTTGCATTCGTTGATGTTGCTCGCGAATTTCTCGAGTGGAAAACGAGGGTTTTTGTTGACGTCTGAAATTGGCTAATATCACCTGTAATATAAATATTTGAAGAGTGACAGTCATAATCTCTGCAACTGATAGGGCGTGGTAAAGGGACATGGCTTGGAGTGCAGCTAGGGCAGATTCCCACCAATAGCAGGGTTCAGGGTGGTATCATTATTGGAATAAGGGCGCCCTGGCCGCGCTCCAATACGCGCCGCATCACACGCCCATCGCTTGCATGAATCAGTGTAAACGATCAAAGCTGAAACCGTTGTAAAGGGGGAGGGGGGGAGGGGAAGCGGCGACTAGGCCGCGCACTTTATCGTTCAGCTCTTTCATTCTCCCTAGCACTGAAAGTGATTCCTTAGTCTAATAATATCACCTCTAGAGAACGCAGACGAACACAGTGGATGCGATAGCGGGTTGAGCCTTAGATAGCCTAGGCGAGCAGAATGGGCAGGGCCGAATCTTCACTCTCTTGCTCTTTCACGATGTAAATCCCACAATAGTCTGCCACTGACCGACCTGGGTTCTTACCAAGACAATCGCACGAGAGCAGCGCATGAGAGGCCATGAAAGGCGACGGTCAGTGCTCGTGGCGCCTGACGCGTCCCAGAGAGCAGTGGTCCCGTAGTCCATCGATAAACTGCGAACTTGGCAACTGTTGTTTCTCCTTTGCGGTTTCCTTCAGTGGTAATTGTGTTAGATAATTGCAGTTAGTATCGTCGTAATTCCACAGGAGGGCGTAAGGAGGCTTAATGTGTCCGGCCGCGCTGCGCTCCTAGCACTGGTTGCTTTCTACCTAAAGGCGGCCACTATTTGTGGAAAACGGAGCCGCAGATGGGCTCAGTCCACACCTCCTGACACCGCCCCGTCAGGTTGCGACGATATCAACTACGGGCGTGCTATCGCCACCACGCCCACCACACAAGATAATTGTCTTGCACGCCTCCAGCAGTCCCCGCTAGACGACGAAGCAAAATCATTCTTGTGAAGGCTGGGACCATGAAGAAAGCAATAGTAACGGTACGGCAGTGATCATCACAGGTGGGAGATAAAAGCTGTGAAAACAGCTGTGAAAAGCTGTGAAAAGGGGCCCTGGAAGGTTTGGGTGGACGGGTTGAACGAAGCCTCCCTGATCCTCTCATCTGTCTGGGCAATTTCCAGGGTGAGATAGAAAAGAAAGTATATTCTATCCGTCTGTGTAGTTAATAGGCTACGCTATGAAATATTTTTTGGTCGAAAACCCTATTTTGTGGAATAGGGAGAAGTTTTCAAGGCAAAATAGGCACTTTAGGCCATGGCGAATTTTGTTTACTCTGAGCACATGTCGTATCATCATTTACTATGAACACTTCTATCTTCTCATCCTATCCTATCTCGCCATCGCAACGCCACTGAACTAGTGACCTCCGGACCTTCTCATGACGTCTTCATGTTTCAGCAAGTCCCTCGGCAATTATTCAGCCCTTTAACTTCCGGGTTCTTCCTGAGGTGTGATATTACTGCCAGCGACATTATACAAAATGAATCAGCTGAGGCTAGGCGGAACAGATGTTTCCAGAAAATCTATGAGGTTTTTTACCATCTCCTTGCTGAATAGAATTATCTCGCATTCATCAAATCCGAGAAACAAGCCCCAAAGCACAAACGCAACATCTGTATCCGCTCCCTTAGTCCCCGTCTATTCACCTCATTTTTCTGGTCGTTTTTTTCTCGGCTACAATCCAGCTAGCGCTCCGCATTGACTGGGCACAGGGGGCAGCGGAGAGACTTTCGAGCAGAATAAACAAACTGGCAACTCTCGGTTGCTCTCGATGACTTTGACTAAAGAACACGTTCGCGTTCGGGGAATCCTCAGCCCTTGCCTCTCCTCGATAGCTTGGACACCGAGATGAATAAAGGACGAATATTAATCCTCATCCGCAATTGCCAGAGCGACAGAGGCGTGGGCGGAATGCACCCTCAGGGCTTCTGACCAATAAATCCTATAAGCACCCGGCTTAAAAGGACAAAGCTTTCAAGTAAGTTCTCAGAATTCGCGCTAGACAAGAATTCTAAGCCCAAAATGCAGCTTTGACAGATCCTTCAAAGAGCAGCTTAGCAAGAAGTTAGCAAGCCCTGCCCCCTCTCTTGCACTTAATCATCCTGGGACGCGTTTTCTAAGTAGCGGGAGAAGCAAAGCGCAGAAATGAACAGGGAGTGACAAAAGCTCTAAACAAAACGAAAAAAGCGACTGTTCGGTTTGGCGAGTAAGAGGGGAGGGGGCATTCCGCACTTAAGCTAGTTCTAACAGTCTCATTTTGTTGAGGTCTGTGAATTCTTGTGAAACCGGGAAATGTCCCGAGTGAAGCTTCTGGTGACAGGACTTTACAGGTCTTCACAAGGTAGCCTGCACAGGCTTCGTGAGTACTTCCCCCCCACCAAGCCGAATCGCACCAAAAAGTTCAAAATAAAAGATGCACAGGATAACACAACAGCCAATCGATATATTGAATAGTACCGTACCCTCCAGTGATGCTGGTTGTAAATGAAACATCTGACATATACATCGATGACTTTGGTGTTGCCTGCTCTCCACGTTGTGCATCTTCATCGTTGACGGCGTTGCTTGAAGCTATTCCACTATCACTTTTACCATTTCCAGCATACATCTGCAAATCGATAAATCAATAGAAGAGAAATTACACTGCCCATTATAATCCATAAAATAACCCGGATCGTCATTATATTAAATGCAACCAGAGCACGTCCTGGCTTCGCGGAGAAAGCCACCTAAACACAGCTTTCCAAATTTCTTGCTGCACGATCTCCCTTTCCCATGGTACCTACCGTCTTGTCAAATTTTACTGAAATTTTGGCGATGAGGCGCAGCGCTAGCCTGTTCTACACCAGCTGTGGAAGCTGCATGCGACCACGATTGGTGGAAATCAGGCTGGCACCGCGCCAAACCCAGCCCCTCGCAATGCCCCAGTGTCCGCAGCGAAGAAGACCGCAGACTGAAGTGTCGTGCTCGTAAAACGTGAAAAACCAAAAACTAGAAAACAAAATTCACAGATCAGCAGACCAGATGCGACCACGCTGGGGTTCCCAACGTACGACGTCCCTTTGATTGCAATAGTCCATACCATTTCACACATCGGATAAAATCATTGCAATTTAATAAAATTTTTGTAATTTTTGACTGATTGATCAGCTATCTGACCTTAATTATGAGGCTACTTTTCACCGGCTTTTCCCCTCAACCGTACCATAGACTTTATCTTATTGTTCAATCATACCGAACACCGAGCGGCCAGACACTGAGGCGCTCCACCCTCTGTCAATATTTGCGGCCATTTTTATGGGATCAGCCCCGTTGATAATCGGTTTGATCGGGGAGGCTCCATTTGACCTATGGAAAAGCTAACAACATATCACGAAAGTAATCGATGAAATAAGAGCGTGAAACTTCCGGCGTTAATTCATCCCTGTCTGAGATGTGCCATGCATTCGACTTTCCTTCAGAATCGCACTGCATTTTGAATAAATGTGTCCTATACACTGAACTGCGTTGCCAGCCGATACACAGGTCAGTTTTTTCAACACCCAAAACAAGCAGCAGTTCACAACAACCGCAGGACTGAAAGATTCGGTGCGCGCCGTTTGGCTTCGGAGGGACATCTTACACTCTACTACTGCCCTTTATCATTTCCTGTTAAATTAAACGTCAACCCTGGTGAGACTTGTATACTCCTGCCAGGTGCAGACAAGGCTCAAGCTATTCCAAAGCTTCACAGACATTTACAGCTCTCCACAGGTGGCATCGGGAGTGATCGATGGGGATCACCCAAATGCCCCCACCAAGCCAATCTGCGCCATTTTGTGCGCTAGGACAGGCGACGATCTGAGAATCAAACCCTAGACAGTATTTGTGCTTACCAGTGCCACCAACCACCTCCGCCCTGGTGCTGATTACCTTCTCTTAATCGCGCACATTCAGAGGAACTACGTCAACGACGGTTTATCCCTGGTAAACATTCCCGAAGAGGAGTAATCAAAACGGTGTTTGAGCAACAATGATGTCGATGTTTTTTGTTTTGCACACAAACACCTCCTCGTTCGTGATCT